CCGCTGTACGTTGAAGACCGACGTCAGCGTGTCCGACGTACATAGGACAAGCGTTGCGTTGGCATGTTTTGAAGTAGTCATTCCTTATTGCGGAGGTTCTGTTATGTTTTGAGTATTAATGACCACACGCATCTTATGGAGATATTATTAATTGAACACCGATACATAACAGACTTCGCAATTACGGATATTGGCGAAACCTCACTTCTAAGTCGGAATTCGCCAGATAGCGCTGTCTGGGTCGTCTGAAGTAGGTTATCCCTTTATGGCCAACCGCTCCCCTGGGATAAAAAGGTCAAATACTTAGGAGTCACTTTCGACTCGCGTATGTCATTTACTACACACATTAATAACGTTCGTAATAGAACCGCGTTCGTCGCCAGCCGGCGACACAATTTAACTAACGCTAAAAGTAAAATGCCCTTAAGGCACAAACTATTATGATATAAGACCTGCGTACGACCTATTATGTCCTACGCATGCATGACCTTTGCCCACACGCACCCTACTCGCTTCTACAAGCTGCAAATAATACAAAATAAGTTCATCCGCCGCGCAACCGGTGCGCAGTGGTATCAACGCAACGTCGATCTGCATAGCGATTGCAGACTCCCAATGATTCGCGAATATTTTAAAGACCTGACTAAACGGTTCTTCGATAGAGCCAAACATCATCCCAACCCTCTGGTGGTAAGCGCAGCAAATTACCAACCCGACACAAACGCGAACGTCAACAAGCATCGCCCGCGAAACGTCCTCACTTAGATACGTCGGACCCACCGTCGGTGGTCCCGCCGGATAACACTACACCCACAGCTAGTGTAACAACAAACACAATAGTTCGCCCTCGCCTCCGAGCACGGCGAGACCAACACAACGCGTACACAAGGTACACCCGCGTTCCGGGGCGGTTCTCACCGCCCCCAGCCACCGATTAGCTAAAAACACAGTCGACGGCCATCGGGGTCCCGGTCCGAACCGCAATCTCGATGGCCCTTAGATGACATACATAGTTAAACGCAGGCATGAGCACATGCGCGGCCCTACCCACAGCGGAGGGCCCAAACCCGTGGGTTCTAGCTAGCATACCGGTTCTGCGTCAGATGAAGCTTTCATAGTCTCGGGACTGAAAGCAAAAACATCATTTAATACAAGATACATGATCTGAAGTAGGCATTATGATCGGCTTCGTAGATCAACAGAGGCCAAATAATGTGATGACCTCGAAGTGCGAACGAATTCTGCAAGGAACTATTAAGAACATTGTTACTAACATACAATTACAAGCTTCGATTAGAACTCTTCGATTAAAATCGCACCCCATATCGTATTAACAAATTATTTTACTATGTACACTTTATTTCTATTATCAAAGAAGATACAAAAGAAAAACGTGTTTCAATTCTACTCAGCGAGTTGGTTTGGCGCTTTGAAATTTAATATTATTGCTAATTCATTTAATCAAAATGTGAATACTACCAAAAACTATCAAAAAAGTGAACGTACCTAAAATCCATTTTATTGTTTGGTTTATGTGTCCTTTTTTTGCAAAAGAATTATATATTTGTATGCATATCGCCTATGTATTACTCTTTTAGTTTTATTTATTTTATTTTCTTGCTATTCAATGTGGTACGGCAATCGATTTCGCCAACAGATTGCCACGATTCTGAGTCAACTTCATCCACCGCCTCCCCGAACATTTGCGCACTTGTTACTTCATCATTGGGGGGCGTAATACACTGTGATGGCCAGTACGAGGCTGCCACTCAAGAACCTTTCTTCGCCGTCGGTTATCGATTCTACGTGCTATTTGGCCGCCACACCGCTACTTCAGCTTGCTAATCTTCTGACCTAAGTCGGTTATTTTTGTTCTTATGCTTAAGATTTTATTCTGAACTCTATCACGTAGAGAAATTCCGAGCAAAGTCCGCTCCATATCTCGCCAAGCGGCTTTGGGCTTCCTCATATTGGCCAGCAGAGATGCCTCACCACGTCACGCGTCACTGCAGGCCATAACTGGCAACACACATTGGACATTGGTCTTAAAATAATGAGGGATCTATAGACGAGAAAATATGACGAAGTTTCTCGAACGCCTACCCATCTCACCCCGTCTTACTGCTCTTAAACCTAGTCGTCAAAACTTCGAGCACAGTACTCCCAACTATACCAACCTAATCTCTATCGCACGATCTTCGTCTTGTCCATGTTCATATTAAGGCCCACCTGTTAGACGTCACTGTTGAGGTATTACGAAGAGGAAAATACATTGAACAAACTACCAAGGTATTTTAACGATGCTGGTAAACAAACAAATAAAAAGTAAATGTATGTATTGTACTCGTACATACGTCGTAGATCATGACGATGGTAAGTTTGAAACGTCATTTTGTAATTAGATGTATATCATTCATTTTTCCATGATCGTTAGTCTAGTTTTTTGTTGCCATTATTAGATTGTAATCTTTTATTTGGGCAGCAGCCATGGTTTTTGCATGATAGTTGAGTAGGTACCTACGAGTAAACTATACGTCAATGTGGTACATAATTATATACATTATGCTGGTTGATTCGGTATTAGAACTTATATTACAATATTTCTTTCCGTAATGAATATTACGCAAATATATTTAAATTTCTCATTCCATTTCAACGCCGGCCACCAACTGTTGTTTTGTTTTCAAATTTCGCCAAATAAGTAGCAGCGCTTAGTTTTGGTCTGGTGGAATGTTGGTCAAGTATTAACGCGCCAGACCAATTTGATTCAAAAGACGGATAAAATACAAACTTTTCGATTTTTTTTATACCCTACATAATCACCGTATTAAATATTTTGAGAGGTGACAAATACATGTCAAGGAAAAGGGTGTCAGGTTTAGTATCTAACTTTCGTGATGAGTACTTCAAACGGAGTAGAACAATTTTCCGGAGTCCGCCTTTCTGTCCGATTACAATGTGATTGTCTTATGGGCGGGAGTGAATAGGCTTTTACTATGCCAGTGCAATACCACCTACGACTTTAATACCACTTACTTTAAGCGACGATAATCAAGACTTATCCAGTTTGTCGAAAAATCGTTAGTCTCTCTATGTAGGAGTTGAAAAGGCGTACCATTCTGCGTTTCTCATTGTTTAAATAATTAGTTACAATTGCATGATGTTATGAACAAGATACTGCAAAGTTGTTAGTAACTGTTAAAAAAATGCCAAAATGGTAGTGAGTGCATTGTTCAAGGCTAATAAATAATGCAACTCAAACCTTGAATTATCAGATCGATTCAAGGAGTTATTCAACATGACGTGGCCTCATTTCAAATATGATATTTATCGGATACTCGTAGCTCACAAGTCTCTTCATTAAAATAAAATGTTTGTTTAAACATTAATTAAATTTTAATACCATCACAATAATGAATAAAGGTGAGTGTAAATATTCTTCAAATCTGATAGTGCAAGCGGCGACCGTGGTAAGTTAGCGGTCATCCAGAATAAGTACAAAATTTTAATTAATTACATTTTGGATATTAGATAAATAAAAAGCATCGGTCTGGCAGTCTGTAAACGATATCACTGCTTATTTTTTTTCTATTTTGTCTTAAGGCGTACGTCTTTTCTACGTCTTTTCTAAGGCATAAGTAATCTTTTTCTTGACATCTTTTTGCCAGACCACTCTCAAAATATTTAATACAATGATAAATTTTCTATGTCATTCATAAGGAAATATCACACGTAAATGTTTTTGTTTTTTATCTATCTTTTGAATAAAATTGGTCTGACGCATTAATACTTGACCAGAATTTCGCGAGACCAAAACCAAGCAAGTTCTACACTGCTACTTGTTTGGAAAATATTTTTTTTTATTTTATTGTATAAATTTCAAATTTATTAGTGATTTTTTTTTTGGATTCATAGAATGAGTAAATAAATATGTTTGTAAATAAAAGAATAATAAAAGATAATATTATTCTAATTTTCTAATCTCATTGTCTATTGAAGAGATTTTTTCAAAATTTTTACTTTTAACATATTAAAAAAATTATGATATTAAAATCCATAATATTTCCGAGATTGCCACATTTTTTTCTCCAAAAAAAGATTGATTCGTTCTGTAATTAATTCAGTCAAATTCTACAATACCCGCCAGTACCAGCACGGTAAATAAAACCTAATGCAAGTTTGGTACACTAAATTAAAGATAAACAGATTTATATATCAAAACGGTAGCAGGTATATGATTATTTATATAAGTAAAGTAATTAAACCCTATAATTGAATATTTCACACAAAAGTGGCGCCAACATGATCCACTTGATTCTCCCATCGAATTAATCCCGTCAGAGGTTTTTAAAATAAAATTAATGAAATTAAAGAATTCCCCCATAGGACAGGCTGCGCCTAGTGTGGGGGTTAGTATTGTATCAATTGTAAACCTATATATATTAATAAATAATATTAATATTAATAAATTAATGAAGTATACATTTTTAGTTAATTAGAATTTTTATTAACTAAAAATGTATATTTCATTATCAACCTCATACAATTTTTTATGTGAGAAGGTGGCAAACGATCTAGCGGTTCTCTTGAAGTTAAGTGATAACCGCCACCCACTGACATTTGCCCGTAGAGTGACAGATGCGTTATCACCTTATAATAAAGTGGGCCTCGACTACCTCACTCACCAGACGGAACGCAGAAGTGTTACACTTCTTCCACTTCATGCTGGTCTTCTGTTAGGTCGTGGTTCTTACCCGGACGAACCTGCCAATTCGTGAAACAGAGAAGATGGTTGCCTGACCCTGCCACGGTTAAATGTTTTGTAGTAAAGTAAAACAAAACTCAGATTACGACATCTTCTTCCGAAGCAATAAGTTTATTCGATATAACTCTGCCGGGGCCTCATATTAGTAGTTGTTTACAAGATAAACTACATTAGTTATGATTTGCTATGCAAGTCTGTGGGCGGTTATTTTAATAACCGTAGCTTTTGTTTACAGGCCGTGAGTGAAGTTGATCCGAGATCGAACTGGATCCAGAGGCAGCTGTCGCGGCTGACTCGGAACCTTCGCTGCCGGATCAGCGGGGAAGGTCACGCCAAGCCCCCGGACTGGTTCCTCGATAAGTTCGCAGCGCAGACCTTCACCGACCCGGAGGAGCCCTTGTATCAAGCAAAGAGATCGAAGTTACTCTGTGGACTGCGGCTCGCGTTCGATCCGACGCTACCGACTCATTACCATGTACGTGTTAACACGAAGCGATTATGGGTATTTAGCAGAAATTATAATTTTAATCAATAAGTTTTCCGATTTTATTAGTTGAAAATTAAAAAGGCTTTGCTTGTGAGAGTTTTCATAAGACTCGATTATATAGTATTATAGTTACTAGTGAATACAATATAAGTCAATTCGGTATGACAGCGATTATAATATACATTCTAGGTCACTGTGATTTAAAATTTTTTGCCTGTTCCCCCCATTAGCGGTGCAAAGCATATCATGTTTCGTACTAACTACCACTACTAACACAACCTATAAAAGTTGGTACGTTATCTATCTTTGATAGATAAAATAAGGCTTGGAATATATACGATGCATTGGTACATCCAAATGGGTTCTGTTAATTAAGCTTAGAAAACAAGGTCTTTTCAGTTGACTTACAGGTCAACCGGGTCATTAAAAAGTTCAAAGCGTCTAAAAAAAAACTTAACAGTTAATTCTAATATAAAAAATAGAAGTGGCAGTATTATAATTTTATGAGTGAGGTAACTGGGGCCTACTTTTTGAAATTATGGCAACGTATCGCTTAATATCAAATAAGCCAGCTCACTTGCCACCTTGCCACATAAAAAGTAGCTTCTGTTTGCTAAATCCAATCTTTTTCTCCTTAGTGGCTGGCAGTGGTGTCCCTGGCTATCCTGTATAATGTTGTATTTGTGATTGGACGAGCGGTTTTCTGGGAACTAGATAATCTAACAGTGATATGGTTCGTCCTCGACTATATCTGCGACTTCATTTACCTCATCGACACCATCGTGCACGTCCATGAAGGTGAATATATGTCTATAGTTTTCGTGCCAAATTACGACGCTTAGCGATGCTATGCGGCTATTTTAAATTTATGCTAATTCCATGCGAAAGTTTAATTATTTTTACGCGTAATTATATTTTTGTTATATCTTGTTTCACAATTTGAACTCATGTTTGATCTAATAACTTTTGGAATAACCGTGGATTCCTATTCTATCCCTTTAGCTGTGACCTAATTTAATGTTGAGGAAGTAGGTGAGTTAAAATTTAAAAAAAAAACATGATATTGCTTGAGTTCTATGCAAACGAATGGAACATGCCTCTACATAAGGTTCTCTGAATCAATAGAACTCGCCATTGCTCAAGATATGAGCGTTGCTTATTTAAATAAAAAAAAACGTGATATTGCTTGAGTTCTGTGTAAAGGAATGGAACATGCCTTTACATAAGGTTCTCTGAATCAATAGAACTCGCCATTGCTCAAGATATGAGCGTTGCTTATTTAAATAAAAAAAACGTAATATTCCTTGAGTTCTGTGTAAAGGAATGGAACATGCCTCTACATAAGGTTCTCTAAATCAATATAACTCGCCATTGCTCAAGGTATGAGCGTTGCTTACACGGAGCGAACTCGCAAATCAACAGTTTGACACCCACACGGTGTGCGCCGTGCCGCGCCTTGCGTCATCAAATTTAGCTAACATGTGGACAAACATAGGGCCCTGTCTAGTTGCTTTTTCCGTTCAAATATAGCAATGCCGTTTTGGTGGCACGATTGCCTGTGACTGGTGATCGATAGGTATAACCTAATTTCATTATAATCTTGCTCCTTCGAAAGTATTTTTCAATACCAATTTTTAATATTTTGTATATTACTATATGATTATAAATTACGATGATAATTAATTCGAATAATATTTTCTTTTAATACAAGTGACTTATAAGGGATAATATTTAATTTTGGCTTGTTAATTGATGGAAAAAAGCGTTTTTTACTTACAACCACACAAAGATATATAAATCTCATTCAAATTTCAGTAAACTTTATTTGCATAATTTTTCAGGCTACCTGGAGCAAGGTCTTATGGTCAGAGATTCGAAAATGCTTAGAAGTCATTATTTAAAATCAGATTCCTGGAGGTATGATCTGGTATCGCTGCTGCCAACTGACGTTGCCTATTATTGGTGGAATCCTGGTACCTGCGATTTTGTTAGTACTATTCGCTATTCGCAATCGACAAACAGATGCTCTTAAAGGCATTATTCTTCATCTGCCCTATTACTGAAATGTCAATATTGGTTCTGTTACAGAAACGTTTGCCGTGCCCTGTTATTGTGCGACTCAATAGACTATTTCGCCTGCCTCGAATGTGGGAGTGGTTTGATCGCACCGAAACCGCTACAAGTTATCCGAACGCTTTTAGAATATGCAAGGTCAATTCCATATCAATACATATTATTTCATATTATTAATTTAGTTTCAGATCGTCTATATTTATCTATATATATTTTTCAGGTCGTTATGGCGATTCTTGTGCTAATACACTGGAACGCCTGCCTCTATTTCGCCATCAGCTACGCTATAGGTTTCGGAACGGATAATTGGGTGTACAATCTCACCGGCGCCCGTAACGAGACCCTTGCTCATCAGTACATATACAGTTTCTATTGGTCCACTTTGACTCTTACAACGATTGGAGAAACTCCGCAGCCAGAGATAGATGCGGAGTATCTCTTCGTCGTTGCTGACTTCTTGGCCGGTGTACTTATATTTGCGACGATTGTTGGAAACATAGGCTCTATGATTTCTAACATGAATGTGGCAAGGGTCGAGTTCCAGAACAAGATGGACGGTGTTAAACAGTATATGGCATTCAGGAAGGTAAGCGGTGAACTGGAGGCCAGGGTGATTAGGTGGTTCGCGTATACTTGGGCCCAAAGCGGAGCTTTGGACGAAGAAAATGTTCTGTCCTCTTTACCCGACAAGCTGAAAGCCGAAATTGCTATACGCGTTCACCTCGATACCTTGCGTAAAGTGCGTATATTTCAAGATTGCGAGCCAGGATTGCTGGAAGCCTTGGTTTTAAAGTTGAGGCTTCAAGTCTTTAGTCCGGGCGATTACATCTGCAGAAAAGGTGACGTTGGCAAAGAGATGTATATCGTTAAGCGTGGTAGACTTCAAGTAGTCGCTGACGATGGGAAGACTGTTCTTGCCACACTTAGCGCCGGTTCGGTGTTTGGGGAAGTCAGTGTTTTAGAAATAGCTGGTAACCGCACGGGAAATCGAAGAACCGCAAACGTGCGTGCTCTTGGCTACTCGGATCTATTTTGTTTGGCAAAGAGAGATCTTTGGGAAGCGCTCGCAGATTATCCTGACGCGCGGGCTACTCTCACTGAACGTGGATGTCAATTGTTGAGAAAGGTTAGTTTTAAAATGTTGTGAATAAACTGGATACAAGTGTATACCATTTAAAAGTAAATCATTTTGCAGTCATCGTATCTCTGTTTTTAGGATGGGTTGCTTGATGAGACTGTGTTTGAAAATGCCCAAACAACTCAACTAAGTCTAGAGGAAACTGTGCATAACCTGGAAACTACTATTGAAATGCTAAATAATCGTCTGCAAAGCCTCTTGACTGACGTTGGCCAAGAGCAGGCCAAGATAAAGGAGAGAATTAACAAACTGGAAGTTAGGTAAGAGAGCTCTGTATTGGTAAACATCATAGACTTAAGGGCGATGTGCGAATTTTACAAATACTAAAATTAATTTTTAAGCTGCAAGGCGAATGTTCAAAAATTGTTTTGTTAGAACTATTGTGTTTTCATTAAGGTCGTTGTTTCTAGACTTATCAAATCCGGTGATATTGACTCTGATTCGGATGACACCTCGGCCGATGGATCAGAGCTCAGGAGTGATGTGGCCCAAGTCTACGATTCACGCTCCGGCCCACAGATCAGCTCGCCGCATTCCACTATGGTGTACATGAAACACCCAATCCGTGAAAGAGGACACTCGCTATGTGTCGAGAGGACACCTAGCCTGATACATCTCCCGCTAGAAGCACGGAGCAAATCGCTGCGCATCAAAAAAAATCACCAGGATGCTTCAAAGTGAAATTAAAACGCGCTACCAGTGAAGAATTGCGATTGTTAAAATGCCCATCTGGATAATGTTCGTGAGAACTGTTGTTCTCAAATCTCTACGAATCAAATTTGTACGAAATTTTGATACTCTTCATAATTCCTCGGTGTTTTATAATATAATGCTCTTAATTGGAACCAAATGACTTTTAAACTCCCAGCTAAACGTCTTACAAAACTGTTGACTTTTATTAATATATTATCACTGAATTATTGTCAACGTGTCATTGTACAAAACTTCTTATTTTATGTATGTGGATATATTCGTGATCGTAATTTAAATATCATTTTATCTTTTTTTAAATCCTCTCATTTTTAAAGCAACATTTGTGAATATTTATAATTTTTTTACATGTTCTCCATAGATTGTTGATTGCCAAACCAAAGATTTTCTACAAAATACAATAGTTTTAGTGCATTAAGTAATCAAATGTTTTAACGTAGTCTAATTTTTATATCAAAGAAGTTTATTCGTAAAAATAGTCTTAGGCTACTTCACTTTCTTGAATAAATATTTTTATTTTTTTTGTGAACTAACCTAAGACATCTATCGATAATTAATTATTAAATACATAATATTCACTACACCATACAATTAATATAATCAATCATTCACATCAAATTTGTTACATAAATGATGACAAACGACTCAAATTGATTTTATGAAAATGATATTCACACTTTATTAAATCCACGCGCCTGTCTGACATTATCAGTTATCGAATTGACCATTCTCAATATATCACACAATATATCAGTCATCATATTTCGACAAGTTTATTGAAAAGTTAATTGGTAGATATATTGAAATATTTATATAAATGTATATTAATGAATCAAGTAGAGCACGTACGTAAGTGTACAATAAGATAATATTGGTCGTAAATGATTTCAATATTCTACATATACAATTGGTTTAGAAAACTATAACACATAAAATTTATTGTGCCGTTAACTTAATGTTTTAAACATAGTTGTATTGTTATTTAATTATTTCTTTTGCGATTAAGATGCACCTAAGATGTCGCATATGTGCGTAACGTATAACTAAATGAGGATGTCTACTAGTGACGCATTAAAAATGTGAAGCCATTTTACATCGAGTGCTTTTTGAAAAACTAGGTATATATTTTAAAGGAAATATATTTTGCTACTTACAGAAATATAGATCCACGTGGTGACTTTGAAGTGAAATTTTTGAAAAGTTAGTATATGCTCCAATGTTATAGTGGTGCAAAATTTTCTTCTACCAATTTGCACAATACACCATTTACTTAGATGATTAATGGTAAATATTATAATAACAATTAAATGTGATTAAAAGTGAAGGAAAAAAATGAGAACTTGTATTTGAGACTGGTTGTAATTTTTATAATAAAAATAAGATTTAAAATTAATTATGCGTTGAAATAAAAAATTTATGGATCCACGTGATACACTTTTGTAGCTATATTGTAATGTTTAACGAATTACTTTCAAACATTTACAACACGTCAGACGTTAACACGTATGTTAAATGTTACATTATTTATGTGTGTTTCGCTTTAATGTTATTGAAAGCAAAAGATTTCAAGTCTACAGAATATTAAATTTACTTACATAATATGGGCAATATTATTGTAAAAAAGTTATTCCTGTTCATAAACTATTTGATTCCCTCTTAACTATCAAAGATTTTACTATTATAAGAGAAGAGTAGTTTTCTTTGGATATTTAATAGAAGATTCAATGTTATGGCACGTAAATAACCAATATGTTTATTGGACGCGAAAATATCAATATATCGTAGCCGTTTCCATTAAAAACTTACACTTATGTTGTGTTGTCAAGGATTTCGTTCGCACAACATTCGGTGTTTAATAAAAAAGATATAATAGAAAAATTGTTTAGTACTCCTTATCGAAATCATGTATTATTAACAATTAGTTCTCAATGTCTTGTAGTTGATTTGGTGAAATAAATTTTTCAAACAAACCGTTTTATTTTAATTTGCAACAGCCACGAATCCAGTGCCTATCTTGCATCAAAATTGGGCGTGCATAATTGCTCGACATGGTATCTTACACTTAAGAGAAAATAAGTGAGAAGGCAGCACGGATTACCCCCGCGTATATACATCCATTACGTCCTCAGAACAGTTCCCAGACCTCAGTCACTAAACACAACGCAAAAGTAAAATATTTGTACTTCCACTTCAAGCCTGTCCACCGCGAGCCCGTGATACTTCCTCGGAATACCTGCAAATTCATTTCGTTGCGTTTAAAACTTTTGCATGCCTGCATAAAGTGTAAATGTCGAACCATTGAATAATTGTTTGGTCGCGTCTCTACTAATACTAAGATAATTCCACTTGTAATTGTAATCTTACTTACCTTACATATTTTATCGAGAAGTTAGTAAACGAACATCACCAGCTTTGTAAGTCCTATTTGATTCCGGAAAACGCGTACAACACACAGCTGGTAGCCTCAAACCACATTTATTACTCGATGATAATTGGATGAGAATGATGTTAATAAAACAACAAATTCAGCTGAACGAGACATTTTCTTGCATACATAGATATCAACATCAAGAAAGAAATCGTAAACTGAAGGTTGACATAAACAAGGAGAACGCTATAATAACGGAAAAGAGGTTACGTACCTACCGGTTACAACTAAATATACAAAGCTTTGTACAAAAAAAATCTAAGTGAAACATCTACTTGACTCATATCGCCCCATATTGAAATGGTAGCTTTTCAACAGACTTATACGGTAAAGTAAAGAAATTAAATGAAGAAGTAATCACGTTCAATATGACATTAAGAGATATCCAACATGAAAAGAGGATCCCATTTGATTTTAACAACGACGACATAGATACTAACAAACTTTATCGAAACGGTCAGATCATCGGTTCATTTATTCATTATAACAATTATAAACGTCTGAGGTAAATATTCAATTGCCACCAGCGCCTAATGAGCGACGCATAGGACCGTTCCCGGCCCAATGTTATCCTTTATACAATTCCCGAGGCACATTCTAAGCTGTACTCGAAATATTTCGAAACATCAAAGTTGATATTACTTATAAAGTATACAAACAATTAATTAGTGGAAGTTGACGTGAACTATACATTCTTGAAAAATGCGTTAATGATTACAACTCGAGTGAATACAATAATCTCAACGGAACGGGCAGCGAAAGGTCCAACCTTGCATACGCTACCGTCCGGTATCATGTAGGTAAGCATGATCAAATGATGATTGATGTAACCCCTCGATATGACGGCCGTGTTCGTCGGTGGGCTCACGTTTGCTTTAAAACGCTAACCACCGGGCCATAAAGGACATTACGCCGACATTCTGGGTAACGGTAACAAGGGATGTACAACTATTTTTTTTAAATGCACACTTAATTAATTTTATACATTGATGACTAACAACAAATTTATATTACTTATAACGTAGGCACCATTCTATCGTCTTACATTTCACACGAGTGCAGAATACAATGGATACTCTAGTCTTGTGCTCCCTTATGTTTGCATAATTTACATAAAACACTTAGAATATGGCGTTCCGTTCGACATCAAGCTTGACGATGCCTCCTCCTTAACGCCAACTGAAATAAAAGTTTAATAATATTAGGATTAACACATGAAATAAATATGTTGAGAAGAATAAGAAAAAGCATAGCTTTCTAATCGTCATATGGGTCACGATGTACCATAACGTTTTTGTTTATGTTTATGGGTATGTTATCATAACTACACGGTCATGGCATTAGAATGAGGTAGACAGATATGGCTAAATGTAATGTCGTGCACTTGTCATTAATGAGTGGCAGAGGAGACAGCCACGTAAGAAATCCGTAATCAGAGAAGTTATAGTTGCGCAAAATTAGAAATTGTACTAGTGACCTCGCTTTCCCTAATTCTACTCCATAGCTATTGCTTCATCACTTCACAGTTGATGCTAATTATAAATTTCACCAATATATCGCCTATTCAGAGTACTATTACTATACTCAATGTTGCTTCGGTGAGCTCCCACGTAGTACTTTTACAAGTTTTATGACCTAAAATGACAATTTATAATATCCAAAGGAAGTTAGTTATGAATTTTAATTGGCATGTTATATTTCCAATAATGGGTAATAATAAAGTAATGAATGAATATTAAATGCCAATGACAGAGAAAATGATCCAAAATTCGTTCTGTATATTAGTAAAGTCTTCGGCTCTATTGCGAACTAGACAGGAAAGAACCGAACAGTCGTCCGTTACCGCATACCATTTCTTACAAATATGGCAACTATTCCTTTCGTGACGTGATATGATAAACAAAACTATAACACAAATGCACTTTTATCCATTTATTTGCTAATTTTGACCCATGAACAATACAGAAAACTGTGGGTAATACAATATCTTCGAAACATTTTTTATTTATATTTCAAAAATATGCAGTATGTTTTCTTTCTTAAAAGCTACATACACAGAGTTTCTCCTACAGTGTTATATATACAGACACGAGAGTACGTCAAATCAATTTCATTGCATTATTCGGTCGTTCTATAGTTATTTATATGAGTTCACAGTTGCTTGATCATCGTAATCATTATTTTGACTAAGTTGTTACCTCTACCTGACGGATGGTCGAGCTATTTTTAATACTGTAAACTGTGACCGTTGCCATTACCGTCTGGCCAGAACGGGAACCGGGTGCCGGCGGTGTCCGATGAGGTGACCGCTTCGTGGCGCCGCGTCGGCGAGAACCCGGCGGTAGGCACGAAAGAAGTGTTGGGGCCCGGGGAACCTCCTGCGAATGTAAAGGAACATTACAGTATAGATATATATAGTACAAGATAAGTCACAGTACAAGTGTACCTTACAGTACAAATGGGTACAGTGTAGATCACAGTTAATTGATTAGTACCTTGAGGGCCGTTTTTTTTTTTTGGTAATTCATGTATTTTGGCAATTACATTTAGCTACAAATTATTGAGTAATTAAATATAATAATTATTTCGATCTTACCGACGCAATAATAAGAACAATAAATATGAACTGGTGTTTTTCACAAAAGAAATAACTTTAAAAAAAAGGGAAAAAGATAACAAAATCATCTGGATCGACAAAAAATAAAAAATAAAGAAAGCAATGATCTGGAATCGAAAAATAAGTTTGTAAATGATCGTGACACGAACCACGGCCTGTTTTGGGGCCGCCCGATTACCGACCGAGCTATTATAACATTTTTTTTTCATCGATATATATATATGTATATGTATATATATGTACAAGAATTGCTAATTAAAGGATAAGATTAAGCTATCGAAGTTCTTTGATTCAAACTAGACTAATATAGCTCTACCTACCTTCCTTGTTTTCCTGCATAGCGTAAATAGTCTACGTAATAAAACCCTCAATTGTATTTTTACCTGTACTATTTACAACGAGGTAAGGATGTTTTTGGTGTCTATATGCTTCAAGGGAAACTGCCAAAAAACAAAAACACTGGGATATTACATATAATCTCCGTAGTAGACGAAAGTAGTAAGTCTACTAAGTAGTAGACGAAAAGACTAAAATCCTTACTTATATTATTATATTGTTTTATATTATATTATATTATATTATATTATGTTATATTATATTATATTATATTATATTATGTCAAACATACAAAATACAAAAAAATTATTTAATAGAAGATACTGCTAATATGTTCACATAATATAGCTGTAGCCTAAAACTAAAAACTTTAAAAAAATATAATATAATAACTAAAATATGTTATTAAAAGGAGTCCCTTTAGGCAAGGTTCCGAAGATACTGGCAGCGTTCCCCCTTTGAATAGTTCTATGTCCGAGGTAGCTGCCAGCTCTTCGATCTCCTGTGACGTCGACTAACCTTTTTGCTATTACCTTACAAAGCCTTATTCGACACCGAATGGGACAAAATCTTATTCGGAGCCTAGACCCCTGTATTTGCAAGCTTTAGCTTTTTCAGCCGCTTCACCAGCTCTGCAGTCGGTTCCACGTAGATGGGAAGGGGCCAGCGTGTCTGGACAGGTTGCATCCCATACCAGCACGCCGCCCATCTTCCATGGAATCAAACTCATACCGTCCGGTCTCTTGCAATACCAGTCGGCTCAAGTAGACTTGGCACGTTGACGGTGGCAAGGGACCGGCGTATGATATCGTTAAGTGCGGCATGTCTCAAGAAGCGGCCTGCACTTTTTTGGCATGACAGTCCACGCTGTCCTAGCTTGTCTCTGCCACAGGGACATTTATGAGGGGCGCAGTAATGACACTTTACAATAATATAGCTTATACATCAGAATAAAACATAGGCTAAACTTTAAAGATATTGTGTGAACTGTCCAAATATTACGATAAGTGTCAAGTAATGGGGAAAAAATTCTGTCATCTGCGAACTATTCTGGTGTGCGCTATAAAAACCGTTAGATAGTTAAGCCCACGATAGTATATATCTATCATTTATTAAGAGCCATAATCGCCAAAATCCAATGGGATGTAACAAATTGATTCTTATTTATATCTATATAGAAGAATAATACTAACAATTTTTCTATAATAAGGAGTAGAATCTGTGTCTGAATATTGGATATATTTAAGAAAAAATAAAATAGGATAATATAAAAAGAATTATAGGAAAAGTTAAAACCATTTTTGAAATTTCTCTGTCTCTCTCTCTCTCTGTCTGTCTGTCTGTTAGCTTACAACTTCAAAACTACTTATCAGGATTTGATGCAGTTTCCGCTGGTTAAAAACCATTTTTGTTAAAACCATTTTTGAAATTTCTGTCTCTCTCTCTCTCTGTCTGTCTGTCTGTTAGCTTACAACTTCAAAACTACTTATCAGGATTTGATGCAGTTTCCGCTGGTTAAAAACCATTTTTGTTAAAACCATTTTTGAAATTTCTCTGTCTCTCTCTCTCTCTGTCTGTCTGTCTGTTAGCTTACAACTTCAAAACTACTTATCAGGATTTGATGCAGTTTCCGCTGGTCACTCAAACTATGCTTCGGGCAACATATAGGCTTTGTTTCATCCTAATCGGTTCACTCAAACCGGATATTTTTTTTACTTTTTTTCTATACCAGACCATTGCTTTTATTGTACAGATCTGTCTGTATCTGTCTGAATTTTACGCTTTCATCCTATTCGAAGCGACAAAGTATAATTAATAATAATTATGACCTGTGAGACGCACTGAGTCATTAGTACGTCTCACATTAAAGACACGGATATCATTCCCTCAGAATGTAGGTCGTAACATAATTGTCAATTAATAATTATTACAATCAGTTACAACAATGTTGCTGTGTCGTGCAAATTTTAGGAATACATACCGTTCAATATCTGTTCCCAATCTCTACTTTACGTTTGGCACTTTATCTAGAAAATATGTCCGATTGTGCGAAACAGGGTCACGCGCTTAATGTAATTTGAACTCTGATAAATAAACAGTAGGGCACGCGACATGAGGGCAAGTACCCTTACAGGCTTATTTTTGATTATGAATGATTACAAAAGCATGTAGGCGACTACCAAAATCAAAATAATTTAATTTCCATAGTCCTAAATAATCATTAATGTGAATTTTGAAATCATGTGAAAACACTAGATATCTATTATATGGAATTCTAGTGTCACAGTTTTAGTGTTTATACTCCTCCGAAACGCTTACACCGATTTTGATAAAATTTTATATCTAATACCTTAAAACGAGCAATTCTTGTATGTGTATATATATAATCGAAATCTCGGCTATATATAACGGCTCCAGCGATTTTCATGATTTTTAGTATGTGCGTAGATTCGGGGAAGAAAAATCGATCTGGCTAGGTTTCATTTTTAGAAAATGTCGTTTTATCCCAGTTTTCAGGGAAACAAAAATATCATTCGAATATAACGGTAAATTTCACCGAAAAAAAATGTTATAATAGCTCGGTCTGTAATCGGGCGGCCCCGAAACTGAAGGCCGTGGTTCGTGTCACGATCATTTACACACTTATTTTCTTTACTTTTTTTTCGATTCCAGATCATTGCTTTCTTTATTTTTTATTTTTGTCGATCCTGATGATTTTGTTATTTGTTTTCCCTCTTTTTAAAAATTCTTTCTTTTGTGAAAAACACCAGTTCATATTTTCTTATTATTACGTCGGCAAGATGTAAAAATATGCATATTTTATTACTCAGTAATTTCTATCTAAATGTAATTTCCAAAATGCAACGTTTGCCGGATCAGCTAGGACTAAGTATATAAAGGTGTAACATAAATATTATTTTAAAGAACTTAGGATTATTATTATTGTTCAATGCTGCCTTTGTTTGTATATTCATATTTAGCAACAAAAATAATGTTTTTCTTCCAAAAACCTTATATTTTTAGGGCAAGTTTTATAACAGCGTTTAGATAATCTATTTGCATAACTACCTCATTAATAAAGCCAGACATATAAACACAGTTACAAATATATACTAACCGTACTAGTTAAAGATGACACGACATTATTTTTATTAAATCATAAGCTGCTGCTTAAACATAGTCTATAATCTAAACAAAGGCTACCTAATAAAAATATGAATTATTTTTGAATTATTAGGGAAGAATGATATATTATATATTTTTAACTTAGCCCTCCCCCTATTAAATAAGAGGTGAACTTGAAACATATTAGTTCCCCAACTCACGACCAATTCTAAAGGTCCATTATTTTGCCAACAGATGTCGCTATCAAAACCTGTTAATACGAACTAAAATTCGTATCGTAGATAAATTTTCTTCGAAAAAAAAAACTTTTTAAAGTAATTAAACCTCAGAAAGTGACATAAGTTATCAGTTTAATTTCTAAAGTTTATTTGTGCAGTATTAAATTTTGAATACTTGCCTTCTGGCCAAAATGAAAATCTCGAAGCAGCCGCGTCCGATGACGTCACAATGTCATGGTGTCGAGTTGGTGAAAATCCTCCCGCCGGCGCGTACCCAGGGCCGGGGCTTGGAGAACCATCTGTTAATAATAATATATACATGTGTTTGACCATGCTATTACCATTATCCTATACCTTTTTTGATATTTACGTCTTAATTTTCACTTAATATTCATAAATTCCCCAATGCCGTTAATTAAATCAATATGAAAATACCTACTATTCACTACTTGAAAAGGCCTGTCTATTCTACTGTACCAAATACTAGTAGGTAGGATGAAGATACAGAACCAATTATTCTTTATATTTTTGTCATAAATTACACCATTTTTATCCCTATTGTAGACACAGTCATTTATTGAAAAAAGTATCTGTACTTATGTATGAACGTAAGAAGTTATACTTCTTTTTCGCACAAGAAAAATATATATCTGTCAATATATATATTTGACAGATATAATGATAATCATAATGACAGATATGAAGAAAAAAATGATATATAACTTCAGCGTATCCTTACAACCGCGACAATAAATTAACGCTACTTGCCACTAATCGTAAAAAATATAAACGTTAAAAAAATTCATAACTAAAAAACAATATATTTCAAACAAACTAATTAAATAAAAAAGAAACAAAATTTCTAACATCCTATACAACTACAACTGACTGATTCATACATTCAGAGACTTTTTCATTCGTTGCCACAGCGTCGCATTACAAATCTCTCCTTCTAACAGTATGTTGTGACCTTTACAAATTAATTTTACGTTATAGTTTTATACGTAAAGTAGAGTAAAGTAATAGCCTATACATGTCCCACAGCTGGGCAAAGGCCTCCTCTATACAGAGGGTATCAGGGCATAGTCCACCACGCGGCCCCACTGCGGATTGGCGGATTGGCGGTAAGAGTGTTCTAAAATTGTTTCTTTTGGAAATTTTTATAACTCGGTTAATATTGAGTTTAAAGAATGAAAATGTTTAATACAATTTTGAAAAGTTGTCCTCTTTATGTGTGTTCATTTATTGTGGCGGTTGTAACGACACGCTGTATATAACATAAAAAGAATTTTAAAGAATTTTGGGATATGATGCAGGGTTGACTCGAAGAGAATGCTTAAGCATTAAGTTTGCCTTTTGTTTGGCCTTATGATGGGGTGTAAACAATAAACTTTTAAATAAATAAATAAAAATACATGAAAAGTTCTGTTGAATTAAATAACTTGGAGTTTTAGGTAAATTTCAAAAAGTTGTTATTGGTTGCAATGGTAATAACATGAGGTTGACGAAAGCAACCGCTTAGCGGCTAACTTGACCATGTTGCCCTCGGTGAGTGCGCGCATTGTAAAAATGTTATTCTTATAGATTAAAAGTGTTTTATACATTCAACATACTTTAAGTATGTTCAAGTCCATATATGTACCTATATTCAGCTGCGTCTTCACGAACGGTGACTCAAACGTTTGTAAGGGGTGGGAATCGAACCCATTTTCAGTCACGCCAAAGCCTATAACGCATAGGTATTTAACTAACACGCCATCAATAATATTCGCATGTAGAAAATTTACGAAAGTCGCATTCGACGTTCACAATATTAATGTACCCGTTAATGCAAGTGCATTCATTTCTTAAATATTTCCCTATTTACACATATACATTGTGATGTCTTACTATAAGTTGCCGTATGCCGTTAACAGATAAGATTTGTAATTAATTATATTTCTATTGCATATCTTATATATACTTAACGTGAAACTTAGTGTGTAAATAAATTCTCGAAAGATTTTCCTAGCTGCCAGGTCTATGGGCATTACCCGAATGGCAGATTTTGGATAAGTATAGTAATTTCTGATTATCTCCAAAATTGCTACAAATGTACTTACCAATGCTTACACCGATTTGGTTGTAAGTGTTCATCGACATGGACTGCATCGGCTGCAAGGGGCTTTGAAGCTGAAAGGAGAGACACACTGCCATAAAATAAAATATCTTTTAATATAATAAATTTTCTTTGTTGAAACGTATTCGGACGATCAATGTTCACTAACGTAATATTATTTCGATACAATTATAAGTTACAACTTCTTTCTTTATAAAATTCTAATATTGTCGAATTTAATTTAGCTTTTGAATTTCTTTTACGTGACAAGTTGGCAAGGGTGACATAAACAAACACAAACAAATAACAACATGTAAGATTTTAGTGTAGGGTTCAACTAAATGCTGGCTTTTGTATCTGTAATTTACGAGTTTAATGCAAGGCACATTTGTCCGTATTTCAACTAAGTATTTAGCATCATATTGGTGCATTTGCGCAGCTCAGTCTTGTTTATAAACCTACTAGTAACTGATTGTTAGTAAAAAGTCGGCACTTATGAAAACATTTAATGGCGTTAATTGACGTCTCTGCGTTAGGTCGTCTGTGGCCTTATCAGCTCTTATAGACTGTTGCTGTTTTCGTATTACTCTAGAATTCTCACAATTGACCCCATTAATACTCAATGAGACTTCAGCACTCTTTGCACTCCGTATTTAAACTCTAATATTGTGATGCGCCAGCTTAAGAGGCTGTGCTTTTATTGTGAGCATGGCAAAAACATACATAAAACATTCTTACGTTATGCATGTTTTTCTTATATTAGAAATTATAAGAGGATGCGCAAAGAAAAACACTGTTGTATTGCCGATGTTGGAAAGGTAAGCCGTTTTTAAATCTTTTTGTTAATAATTTCGTAGAATTTTTTTAACAATTTTTTTTATCAACATAAATCTTCTCTCTGAATCGTAGAACGTTACATAACTTTGTTAAAAGGTGATATTTTCTCTATGGAGCTCTAAGTTTGTTTTAAGTATTCAGCATAACCATCATAGCCATGTGCATATTTGGATCAGAGGTGTTCCTAAGTTTAAACCAAATAGTTTCATACCTTTTTTGTTTAGATTTACTAAAATAAATTTCAGTTCGACAAAATTTTTCAATACCTTTCAGCTAAAATGCTTAAATAGTATTACTGCCTAAAATTAAACTGCGTAACGTTTTATAGAGAGTAAACTTTGAATTGTTTCATTTATCGACTCGATAAACGAATTAAGTACATAGTGATTACGCCAATTTGCAAGCACGGGATTTTATCGCTTACGCACTAGTAAAAATTTAATCTAGCTCTGATTAGGTGATGAAATGAAAATAATTAATAAACATACATAACACCGACTGTGCGGGCGTTTTAAGATCAATTGCTGAGATGCTTTCAGCGGCACGCCCGTTGATAGAGCTTAATCTTTGGGACCTTTATCTATAAGAACTCGTAGAGGGATCTACGTGACAGCAGGATATTAACTTTGACCGATTAATATTATTAAGTAGATAACATCACCTCTGACATCCATTTTTAACTACATTGTTATAAGCCCTTTGAGCTCCATCGCTCGACAGAAACTTTAATTATGGCTGTCGAGTTAAATTTCCTTTAACAATTGCTCGTAGGGTAGGCCTTTAAACACAAACTATCCACTGTCGCTTCAGTTATCAAACTTAAACCGAAAATTATCTGTACTGCACATTTAGCACGTTTTGGAATTGTCACTCGGTTGTCATGTTGGTTCTCTGTTAGTCTTTATATAAATCTAACGGGCTTGTGTACTAGAAAGAAGCTTGATTTACTTGTCCCTGGAGCTGGTGAGATGCGAACGGGTTGACGGAAACGGGCGAGGACTGATGAGGCAGGGCACTATGGGGCGAGCATCCTGGCGGACTCCTACCCATGCCGCCGCACGCACTTGCGTAGCCCAAGCCACCAGAAGGCTGCGTTAGCCACGTTCTGAAATTATATGTCTAATTTAATTTCAACATAGAGAGCAACATAACGCTTAACTGCGCCAGATTACAAGCTTTCCAGATCGATAGAATTATTTTTTTTATGTGAAAGGTTGCCAAACGAGCAGACGTTTCACCTGATTGTAAGCGAATACCGCCGCCCATGGACATCTGCTACACCCGAGGGTTACGGATGCGTTGACAACCTTTTGAAAATTGGGCTCCGGCTACCTCACTCACCAGACGAAACGCGAAACTATTTGTCATACTTCCACTTTACGCTGGTCTTCTGTGAGGTCGTGGTACTAACCCGGGCGGGCCTGCCCAATCGTGCAACAGCCGCGGATGCTGCGGGGCTACCACCGTAAAGAGAAAGAATTCAATTTGTTAACCGACTTTTATGATTATACTCTACATCCGCCCTTCCTAAAGGTTAAATAGCAAATAGCTTGTTTTATGACTTAACTATCAATTACCCGTACACCTATAACATGCCTATAATATGGTAAATGACAATTTTAAACGCCTGTGCATTATTTTTTATCAAATGTAATCAATACTTCGATGAATTACGTTAATTCGAAAAAAGGCAGGTAACAGACACCGTCATAACATAATTATGTACGATGTATGTCTGACGTAGGTTCCTGACGATCTGGTCTGCTTATTACTAAGTGATAATCGGACACTTCTCATTTATTTATACGAATAAATTTATAATTCCTTTCATACCGGTATAAAATGGTACCTATTGTTTATTTCACAGTATTCACAGCTAAGAGAAGAGCTATAACTTATTCCGTGAGTATAAATATAGATTCATTATTTTTTTGAGTCGAAATCTACGTTAATATATACGCACATATGTAAAATAAACAGTTTTATTAATGGAATCAACGCATAAAGCTCTTAAGGTATTCAACGATTATCTATATTTTATTAATATAACGGCATAGGCAATAGCAATACTCTCACTAATAATACACGTATAAAAGGTTCCAAAAATCGTTGAATACGAATAAACTTCTGCAATGTCTTTTTTTTACTCCACAATTTTTTGTTCAGGCTCTAATCTTGGATACGGGCGACTGACTAGCTATGCGTTCGTCCGAGAGGACCCGCAGAACCGGTCGAGCCACATCATTTCGCGCACGGCGGTGCTTGAACAGGCTGAGATAAAGTAAATAAACCCCGCCCATCACACCTGTTCGCGTCCAATGGACAGTCAGCAGCCTCTTGTCAATTCCTCGCCATTAATAGATCTCCTCCTAACTCGCCACAACCATAACAATAATGAATGGCACGCCCGGTTTCATGTACTAAGCGCAATTTAAACGACACCGTAGCGTCGTATCGTTTTTCGCTTACACGAGCGATACAGTGCGCACGTGTAATCAGTGTACTAACGAAATATAAATTCCTTTACCCATCGTAGAGTTACCACAAGAAAAACTACGTCTAATAAATTAGGTTCATTACGATAGCAATAGTTCAAATTCTCTCAATTTTATTTTCATCTTATTGAATCAAAGATGTTTATTATTGCGTCTCAGATATTTATTGTCAAGTGTCACTATATCACGATACATACATGATTAAATATTAAGGTCATGTTTAGATATACCTGCACCGATTCAAAAGCAGAGTCAATGTTATGACACGATATTGACATAATTGTTTGCAGTCCAAGATGAAGACCCCAAAGGGAACGGGAAATGAGAATTGTCCGCTAACATATCGATATATCATAAGCGTTTGTTTTGTAAACATACGTATGAGAAACGTAAATATTTATCATAATTAATTTGTAATAATGTATCGCATCGTATTATTTATACATACAATAATTTGAATAATTCACATCAGATCAAATCGATCCCATATCTATATCTGCCGAGACAAGCAACAAGGCAATAAAAACTATTTTAACGGGATGCCTTTTTATTGCACTCTACGATTTAAGATAATGTTTTACTCAATAATAAAGAATATTTTAACTTTTATAGTTAAGGTTATCACTCGGTCTCAATAACAAGTGCAATTCTGCACAAAATATACACAGCAATGACTGTTTTTAAAGTAAGATAGCGCGGTGTGACATTCAAACGAACTTAATTCGAATGTCATTTGGCAGCCCTTTATATTTTAATCTATAGCCGAGGCCAGTGTTGCAAGAAACAGAATACTTACGTATCATAGCGCGGGTAAGACGGGGGATATGGCGCCCCTGAACCGAAGTAATTCCTAGCGCCCAAAGGCAGAGACTGCATGTGCGCATGCTGCGCTACGTGGGCCACGTGATAGCCGTCACCGAACAATGTCTTTGAATAGGGCGTCGCCCTGAACGGTCGCTTCATCCTGCGCCGCCGCTTATAGTTGCCACCCTCGAACATTCCCCTGCATTGCGGATCTAAAACAACACTCAACTGACCACCAAAAGCAATGGTTAATCTTAACTAACGCGCTCAGTGTGTCGCCAGCATTTCGCTTACGTGGTGGATGAATCGCCAGCACAGTTCGCAATGCAAACATCATAAAACACATGCGACAGTTCAGTAATAGCTATTACGTTCCTGAATTATTAAGGTAGTAATCTTACCCAGAGTCCAATAGTTGCCTTTCCGCTCGCCGCCACCTTCCCGCGGCACTTTGATGAAGCACTCGTTGAGGCTTAAGTTGTGCCTGATCGAATTCTGCCAGCCCTTCTTGTTCTTCTCGAAAAACGGGAACTCTTTGGTTATGTAAGCGTATATCTCGCTCAGCGTTGCCCGCTTGGATTGGCTGTTTTCTATAGCCATTGTTATCAAAGCCACGTAGGAGAACGGTGGCTTCGTCAATGCCTGCGACGTGGAGGTGGTCGATTGCGGTTTCATTTCCGAAGGGCTTGTAGGGGTCGGGGCTTTCGATTTACTTTTCGTTTCGTTACTGCGAATACAACACATCAATATGAACACTAAACACTTTACCTACAATCGATAAATTAAAAGTTACATAACCCGACGGTATAATTTCGCTGTTTATTTTATAGTACAATGCGACATAAATGTTACGATACAATGCCTACTTAATTTATTACGCAGTAATTTAGTATTATAACTTTCAAATACATAACATCTATCGCACAGGCTAATCTTTCCATGTCTTTAATAACAAAACATTAGTGTAACAATAAGTTTCCTTCAGAGTATAAAACATTTGGAAATGCACACTGATATATATATATAAGTTGATTTGGTATAGGTGGGGCACTTTACCTGTTGCTGGAATTATTCGTCTCATCCCTAGCGAGGACTGGCATCGTGAGCGTTTGGTACACTCTCGAGAGCTCCTCGTCGCCCTTGATGCTCTGAGAGTTGGAGGTGTCGATACCATTGCTCTCCTGCAGGCAGATCCGGTTGTCGTACGGCGAGGCACCTAGCAGATATTTCAAAATCTTAACGCATTTGCACTCCAGCACACTGAACGTTATGGAAGCCATCTGGGCGGGCGTTCCGTCGACACCTGACCGACAGTGGATCGCGAATAACACGATAGCTTTGGACGTGGACGTGAGGTGCTTATGCGGCATGCGTGTGCCGTATCACTTTACCTTTAAGCCGGTACGAAATGCTTATGGCGAAGCTATCGAATCGCGCCGCATCGGCAAGCGTGGAGACATGCCGCTGTCGTCAGTAGCGTCCACCAGTGGATTCCTGTGATCATCTTACGTCGGCTCCCCGGTCCGGTTACACCGTGACATCGAACGCCCGTCGAACGGCGCATTTGCATTTTTTCTCCATTCACCGGCGACTAGACCCGTACGTACTGGTACACATATGTACCCGCTTAATTGAAATTTTTAAACTTTCAGTGTTTTATAATTTTTAATTTTTTTCTTAATTTTTTTAAACGTGCAGTGAACTCTGAGATCGCTTTTTCGTTGTTTCCATTACGGTTATGATTTATTTTTTAGTGAAACTTATAGATTGCCTTAAGCCCACCATGCGCTGAATTGACGTTTTTAATTTTTTTTAACTCAGACAGCTTATGACTTTCTCATCAAACAAACCCACCAAAGTTTCCTCGCACGGATTAAGTAGTAAAGGCATACATACAAAACCAAGAAAAACATTAAACTCGGATTATCTTATTGATAACATTATTCAAATGGAACAACAGTAAAGGCGTCCTTTAGATAAGGGGAGTCTGTGCAAATCGAGGAGCGAAGACTCAAAATGTATCTTATTTAACCATCTCACTTTTTCAGTTGGTTAAGGGAGATCATTGTCTCGCATTATTATTGATTCAACAAACGGGTTTTTCAATACCTACTGCAGGCACTACCCACAACTTTATTTTAAAACTCTTTTAGAAAAAAAAATTACGATTGTTGACAAAAAAATTTAGTTGTGGTATTAAATAAATCATTTTTTATTGTTTATATGCTGACCGCAACTATGTCTGCGTAGAATAGACTGAAGGCGTAATATTCAGACAGAAATACAGATATACATAAAATATGTGTAAAAATTATAACCTATGTCTTATTCTAGTGTATAGGCTATATTATCTTTCGTTAAAATCCATTCAGTAGTATTTGCGTGAAAGAGTAACAAACATCCATCCATACATACAAACTTTCGCCTTTATAATATTCCGCGTGGAATTTAAAATAAAAAAAGAATTCTAAATAAAAGTAGCCTAAGTTACTCCTTATTACATCAGCTATCTGTCAGTGAAAGTCCCGTCCAAATCGGTCCAGCTGTTTTAGAGATTAGTCGCAACAAACAGACAGACAGACAAAAATTGTAAAAATTGTTATTTTGGTATATGTACCGTGAATAAATCCATAAGCATTTAGTAAAAAGGGGTTATTTTAATATTACAAACAGACACGCCAATTTGATTTACCTCACATAAAAACCTCACAAGCATCTTCCTGCCATCCCACAATTCGTCACGAGTCCTACATATTGTCAAAGTTTAAATCGCTATCAGCGGGATGTTTCAATGCCGGCCCGGCACGTCACCTCTGAAAAGCTCTACACGTTCTTATAGAGGGCTATTGTTATTATGTTGTTACGTTTAACGCTCGAGATTTAGCCAATCTTACGCGTACGTGACTCCCGATACGGGTTTCTTGGAATTCGTCGCTTAACGTTGTAGGTAGCTAAATAAACACAGTCGAGATCGTACCTAGTTAAGTCCGAGGAACCCGGCGTGTGCACGAAATTTATAATATCACAAGATCGATTACTGAATAATATAGGCATCTAAAGGACAAAGCCTAATGTTGCTAGATAATGTAAAATAAACCAAATGAAAAAGAAAATGTTAGTTACTAGCAATGAACTGCACTCACTTCGACTTGCGTAAACATCACATCAATTGAAAAATGATAACAGAATCAGATATTAAGTAATTCCTATTACTTATCTGATTTCAAATATGATCTAATAACCGAACAGTTACGTTTTACCTTCAATATTTCTTTTTTATTTGAATTTTCAAAAGAAGTTCCTAAAAATCGAGAAAACAAAAACAGAAATCATAATTAAAAACATTCATCACACAACTTCTTTTTGACTACCCTTCGAATAAACAATTGTTATTCATACATACTATGTTAAGATTATATCTTATAGCTGAAAGTCGAGGCACCGCAACATGAACCACTTTTTATTACCACGACCAATAAAAATTCAAGCGACTGATTTCAGCGCTTGCATAGAATATGCCAGTGTGCATTTTATTTCAAAGATTAAATAAGAAAATTTTTTATTCTGCTCTTATACTTGTCAAAGTTATGTAACCGTAGTTTTTGTATACATCAGTATATACACCACGTAGGTAGGTATCATTGATCTGATGTTAACGTTTGATATTATGATGTGGTTGTACTTTAACTAAATAAATATTAAATATTTTTAGTAATGAAAATAGTATTCAATTTTTGACAAACACGTTAGTTAATTTCAAAATTGACACTTAAATTTATTAGTAAATATGTTTCGACATAAATATTTCAGAAAAAATGCGTCTTAAGACAAGTTCATTAACCCTATAGTGATATTACGCACGTATTTTGCATTAAAGTTTTGTATCGGCATAATGAACATCAAAAGTTGGAGGAGTTCATTATGATTTCATATTTAATAAACAAAATCCTCTTCAGCGTACAGCGATGCCTTTATAGAAAGATTCGCAAGGCTATTGAAACTACTTTAATAATAAATAAATCCCGAAACTGAATTTATGATATTAACCAAGAACACCACAATGCTACAAGACTTCAAGGTACTAGTTCAAGTACTGGCTAATTTTGCAGAGATAGGTCCAAAATAAATATTCCAAAAATTATTTAAAACTTACTACGTAAAAATCCTCAGTCTGTCAAAATGTTCCGAACGTCGAGAAATAGAAATCAAAAGAGAACGCGAGAAAAGCAGTTAAAAAATTTTCATTTAACATGAAATTTAAGTCTTACTGCAATAAATGTTTTTATAATTTGTAGTTTAGTACGGAACAAAATAGCAAACGTAGTAATTGTTATTTTGTTCCGTAATTTTCGGATTGCCACCACACTTTGGTTTTTGGTCCACATTTTCTTTTATACCTAACCATACCAGTATGTTGCTGTGATGTTCCACAACAATCCCTAACAGACGACTCTAGAGCCGCCGACAAATATCCGGACAATTTACTTGAGCCGAAGAATGCGTCAGACAGCGGCGGTGGTAGTTGCATATCGGATTCGAGCTGGCCGGCCAACACGGCATGGTATTGTGTCGCTTATAGAACAATGCGTCGTATTTATAAAACATTAAAAGCCGGCGTATCGTTCGTGAAATTAATAACAAATAACAATTGTGAAACGTTAGTTCGGGAGCAGTGTGAATTACCTATGACGATGAATAGCTCCACTGTGGGTGTCGAGATGGATTTCTCTCGATTGTTTCACTTTAATCCCGTTACGGAAAACTATGGTTAATGTTGCTTGAAAATCGTGTGCCACGAAAACAAATAAATACAATAAAATAAAAAGCAACTAGTAGTAGTAATTAAGTCTAAATATATGTTTATATATCTGACTGTTTTCGGTATTTATGACTAAGATTTGAGGATAAGTAACATTAAATACCGAGGACTCGATTATCAATTTTGCCTTGGTTTGCCTTTCTCTAAGAATTGAATCAATGAAAGTTATAATCACTGAGTTTTAATAAACAACAAGCCTTCATCATGCCAGGAATAAGTTAGGAGTCAGTACATTTATGTACTTTCTTTATTATAACGTTGCTCTAGCGTATCACTGACCACGGTTGTGATGCGTATGACATAGTAACAGTACCTTATTCTAAGACAAAATTGCTACTTCATTGTGGAACTAAACTGTTCCAATCCAATCCAATCCAATCAGCCTTTTGCAGTCCACTGCTGGACATAGGCCTCTCCAAGAGTACCCACAGAGTACGATCTTCCGCTTTCCTCATTCAGCCACTACCATCGACCTTTCTCAGGTCATCGGTCCACCTGGCAGGGGGACGTCCGACACTACGTTTTCCGAGACGTGGTCTCCATTCGAGAACCCGTCTGCTCCAGCGCTCATCGGTTCTACGACAGATGTACTACTAAACTGTTAATGTTACCTTATTATCTGTTGATAAAAAAGTAACATTAAAAGTTTAGTAAACTAGTTACTCAAAAATGAAACCATATGTATGTCTGTTTCGGGTTCTCGAATGGAGACCACGTCTTGCAAAACGTAGTGTCGGACGTCCCCCAGCCAGGTGGACCGATGACCTGAGAAAGGTCGCTGGTAGTGGCTGGATGAGGAAAGCAGAAGATCGTACTCTGTGGCGTACTCTTGGGGAGGCCTATGTCCAGCAGTGGACTACAAAAGGCTGATTGGATTGGATTGGATGTATGTCTGTTTATTACTCTCCCCATGCTTATTTTACAAAAAACGAAATGAGATAAATCCGAACGATGAGCATCTCTTTTCGTAGAACAGATAAATAAATATATTACTTAAAGAGGAATAAAAAGCAGGTGACATACTTTTCACGAAAATATTTTAAAAAATACAAAGTATTTACAATAAAGGCACCACCCTTCTAATTCCGATTAACCGAAAAAAAAGTATTAGTAGCGAAAACTGTTTGCAATTATTAGACGATTTCGAAATTGAAGTCTCTTCGTTTGTCGCTTAAGGCACGAAATGTAATCATTCCGTACAATTAGCAAACGATAGGTAAGAAGGCGAAGCAGCTGGAGGCAATATTATCAAACACCTGGCCAGAAAGCAAAAGGCGCTAAGGAAAACACGAGAAGCGGAACGAAAATTTTCTCCGTATAACGACATTTGCGAAGGAGGGTCTACTGGTATGTTTGTGAAAAAAAAAACATCTTTGTTTACCTTTAGGATGTTTTAA